CTCTGATTTCTATAAAAGTATCCCATAAAATCCTTATAGTCCATTTCTCATTTATTTGTGGATCATTCTCATTCTCCTCTTGTCTAATTGCCATCACAGCCTCTCGGCTAATAAGGATTTTCGATGACTTTTGGTCTCTATAAAAATGTCAATGGTACCAAACACAATTACAAGGCAATATCAATTATTTAGTCAAACCTATCATGGGTTGGACCGTTTTGATATTGGGCTTCGGCCCATCTAACAGAATGGCCCATGGAATGAATATTCTTGACTAGATATCCAAAGCCTTAGAATCTCTTGGGATTCTAAGGCTAAGTAGTTCAATTTATTCAATTATCTTATTTGAGACAACTTGATAAAAATCTTCTTGATCTGAACCATACATGGCCTATGTAGAATACTTAGCTGGATTTGGGGTGGGGTGGGAGACTCTAGCTTGATCAGAAAACTATCAAATAAATAAATAAATAAATTTTCCAAAGGTGTAGTTTCATTTTCTTTTGACTGTTCAAAAGTGATTCAATCTTGTAATTGGTCAGGTTCATATAATTAATTAGATCAATTTTTTGGAGACAAAATTATTTAAATCAAGCTTATAAATAGAATACTTTTGATTATTGGAAATATTTACATATCATACGACATTAATGCAGTGTTTAAGATGCCAAACAAGGACCACCTGGTTGGTGTTTGGTATTGTGGCCTTCATCTGTCATTATGTCGAAAAATAGTCGTAAGTGCAACACATTCCATTCCTTTTGTTTCTTTTTTTAATAGGTTTGATAAAAATATATGCTGAGTAGGCAGTTAGGTGGTGTTTGGTTCATCAGTTTGTTTATGAATTTAAATACTCCAATCTACTTAAATTACTTAATCAAAGTTTATTTTTTAGAATGAAAAATCAAGCATACTTGTTTGCTTCTCTTACTGATAGTAAATTGTTATATGTAGAAGAGAAGCTTATATGCGGTGAATCAAACAACCCCTTAAGGATTTATTGAAAAAGAAAGAAAAACTCTTAGGTACACTTTTCGCTCTCCAGGGTTGCAGTGGTGAGGATGGTGGCAACAACGTTTTCAAACCGCTTTTGATCCGGGCGGTTAGACCGTTTGGCCCGAAAATTGTTCAAGCAACTGGTTCCATTTTACCCCAAACCCAGAATCTGGTAAAAAATCGTTGAAAAAGTCAATAAACCATTGACCTGGGCAGTCGAACCATCGACTGTTCAATGGTTTTTGACATTTTTTATTTTTTTAATTTTTAAAATTTTTCTATCAGAACGGGACGTCTGTTTGAATGGGGCGGTCAGACCGTCAACCCGAAAACTGGTGGCCAGAACGATTCTATTTCCGTGTCATTTTTTAAAACGTTGGGTGGCAGTAGTGGCACTTGGCAGCTCATATTTATTTTTCTTTTTTTTTTCCTTTTGGTTTTAATAACTCCATCTCTCGATAGGACTGACAATTTTGACCTCAACCTATTTGACCCATCTAATCTACCCATTTGAAAACCCACCCATAACCACTTGTTCTAATCATGAGTCAACATGGGTTGAATGACCCATTAAGATCAAGTGAGGAGAGTCAGGGTGGGGTTGGATCGAGGGTTTCCCATTGACCCTCAACTTTAAACTTCTTCCAAAATTTCTAACCTTGCTTTGATAGTTTCTTCTTCTCTATAACATTTAGGGTTTTCTTCTCCTCTATTTAGGGCTTGCTCAAATAGCCACCATTCTTGCTATTTAGGGCTCGTTCAACTTGCTATTTCTCATCAAGCCACTACAACGATGCCACCATGCATTCTCACCAATGTTTTCGAACTGTTTTTGACCCAAATGGTTGGATTGTTCGGCCTAGAAAACCATCCAAGCAATCAGTTCTATATCACCTTATCTGGTCCTTGGACAAAAACCGTTAACTTGGTCAGCAACCCATTGACTTAGGTAGTTGAACCGTTGGCCCGTTTGACATGGACAACAGTTTTTGCTCATTTTTTATTATTTTTAATATTTAAGTTAGAGCAAGCCATTCATTCGAACTAGAAGATTGAACCGCTGACTCAAAAACTGATGGCCAAAGTAGTTGTAGTTCTGGGTCGATTTTTAAAACCTTGATTCTTGCCGCCCTTAGCAACGACACCATAATCTCTTTCCAATGGCAGATGGAGTTGTTAGGAACACTATTCCAAAGATTTTTGTCAGTGTTCCTCCCCCTAGGTTTTAAAGCAACAACAGATTGATGTCGATGATTCAATAGAGTAGAAGATGCTGGCGATTCAACAGACAATAGAACAGAGGTTACTGGGGATTGAACAGAGCAAGGAGAAGAAACAGGGACGAGCAATCAGGGATAGATGATGCCGGAAAGTGAGACGAGACCATCTGATCCAGGAGTCACCGCCGCAGCCATTTTTTTAGATTATTTATTATTTTTGTATAGTTTATGTGATTATTGCATTTTAGTTTTTTGATGGAATATATAATGACGAGAAGATTATTATTATCTTATCATTTTCTGTGATTATTTTTTTTGCAATTTTTCTTTTGTAGCAGAAATATATAATTTCTAGAAAATTTTATTATCATTTTCTATATTTTTCTCTATGGTTATTGTTTTGCAATTTCTGGTTTTTGGCTAAAAATATATGTTTTTGAAAAATTTTATCATTTATATGTTTTCAGAAATTTCTATCAATTTGTGCATTTCTGCAGTTTTTATATTTCAATGCAATTTTTGTATTTTCTTTAATTTTCTATGTTTTTATAATTTCTTTTTTATACTTTTGTTTAATTTTTTATTATTTCCAAAATTTTCTGCAATTTCTGATGTTTTACACTAAATTTATATTTCACTATTTGTTGTGTTTTTATGCATTTTGTATTTTTATTCAAAAAATTGTTTTTTTTTTGTTTTTTTTGTTGATATATATATATATATATTTTTTTTCTGCAATTAAAATAAAAAAGGTAAAAAAAGTCTAATTTGAATAATTGAATTAGAGGGTCAAATAAGTGAATCAGGGTGGGCAGCAAATAGGTTAGTGGGTCAATATGGGTGGATTGGTACTCAATCAAATTTCTCACCTGTGCCCCACAACGTCCCACAGTACATCCCCGCCGTGCATTGGGAACATCTCCTGATGATAGTACCAATCCCGATAGTATTATCATCAAGAAATATTCACAATACACAGTGGGAATGTGTTGTGGGACACTGCAGGGCAATCTTGTAACTTTTTGCATTTAGAATTTTTTTCAAACTGAGCCTCAAGAAACAAAATCGATTAATTGTTTACACGCAGCTCCCTCCTCCCTTGGTTTACATGGTGTTGCTTTAAAGCAACTTGATTTTCTTTGTTGGTCTTAATAAAACAATTATATTTCTCGTTACTAATTCTAAAGGATGAAGCTACAAGGAAGAAGTGTAATTATGCAATTGCACATCAAGAAGAGATATAATAAGACATACTTTATATCTTAATGTGATTAATTTTTTTTTTTATTAAATCTTATGAGTATTAATACCTCTATTTCAGTGCAACTGCCTTAGCTACAAATTTACAGTGAACCACTCTGTATTCAAGACCTATTTTTTCATGGTTAGTATTCAAGGCTAATGGGGTGTTTTAATCGGAGGCTCTTGCTCAATTGATTAAAACTGTCATACAAAGAAAACCTCGGGAGCTCTTCCACCCAGTAAAATTGTCCCTTAAGTCTTCTTCGGCCTTCGGATTTTATTGGCATATATATTCTGATGCAATGTCAACTGTGACAAAAATCCAAAGTAAAAAATACAGTAACAACTGGATCGAAACAATGCTTTTAGATCATATTTACACTTTATTAAAATTTTTTGAGGAGGTTTAGAAAGAGATAGAACATGTCCGACGCGAACGGAACACTATAGCTCATCTTTTTGCTTGTTGGTCTTGTATATATAATATAAATATTAGCTACATGATCTCCCCTTTATATAAATAAAATTGCCAGCTCTGCTGGCCTTCTATTTGCCAAAAAAAAATGAGAAGGGTGAAGCTGCCCTCATTTTGAGCAATTGAGGGATAGAGAGGTGCCTCTAAGCGAGGAAGATACTCAAGCTTTGATGGTGTTGAACATGGTTTTCAAAACTGGATTGGACTGGAAAAACCAGGAACCGATCAGATGACCGATTCCGTTTTTCCTCAAAACTGAATCTTTTCCAAAAACCATTGATTTTGGTCAAAAAACCACTGACCCGGACAGTTAACCGTTCAAACCATTTTGACCTTTTTTATTTTTTTTATTTTTTTTATTTTTTTATCGGAATGAGCCAACCATTCGACCCGGTAACCAGACCCCTGACCGGTTCGGTCTCCGGGTTGGTTTTAAAAACCATGGTGTTGAAGGTCGCCTCGGTATCCACTAAATGACTTCTTCATTCGGTGAACGATGGGAGCAAGCTCTACAAGGCATTGCTATTTATTGCCCATTCTGTGATATTTTAAGTTGATTTATGTTTTTAATCTTATGGGTATTTGAAACGATAGTTTTTCTTTTTTAATGAATTGACATTGACATTATTTACAAGCAAATGAAAGGAAAAACACCATCAAAAGTATTAGCAGATTAACCATCAAAATTTGGATAATTTGGATTTTAACTAGAAAAGAAAGTAGTTTGCTTAGGTTCTTCAGAAAAACTAGAATGAAACTGTGAAATAAATATCAATTCTGAAGAATTGCACTCTCATAAATTTATATTGGTGTATGAATCAGACAAACAATTTTAGTCATGACTAATGGCTTCTTTTCTTGCTTGCTATTTGATAGGAACTTGTTTACCAAAAAAAAAAACTGAAAGGAACTTCTTAAGATGGCAGGAATTAAATTCCCTTAATTATGAAAATAAAAAAGAAAACAAAACCAAGTTGCTTTGAATTTTGTTATTGACCCTTATAATGCAAATTTGATTGTGTTGGGAAGTGTATATCTTATGGTTCTATGAGAGATTTCTTGCCAATTTATACAAACAATTTACTTCATCATTAATGTCGGTTTATAACAAATCCCATGCGTCGCATGAGGCCCTACTGGTTAACCAGTTAACCTCTAAAGAATTTTGATCAATGTTGGAAAGGGGAAAAATAATGGATTATTTCTTGAAATGTAAATAACATAATTAAATAAAAGTTAATAATTTAGGACAATTGTAATCTTGAGCTTAAAGAACAAGCAAAATCAGATACTGCAATTGAGTAAGGCCTCCATTTCTGGTAGCATCCGTCTAACCTTCTGGCGTCTTGTACTTGGGTTCACCTTAAGTGCATGCCATGGCCAACAGATGTGTCTCAGCTTATATCGGTTACTTTGGTCTCTTCTATTATCAACCTCCTCTAACTGTCTTGTCAGCTCCTCTATCCGCTCACGAAATCCTGCAGCTCTGCTGTCAGCCAGTTGGAGAGACCTTTCAGCTGCTGCCTGAGCAGCCATAGCAGCAGCAGCTAGCTCTTCTTTCAGTTTTAACTTGCTATTAGACAAGTCCAAAGAGGCCTTTGTCTTCTCTAACTCTTCTCTGAGAAGTTCAGCCTGGCAAAAGAAGGCAACCTTTTATACTCAATGAAAGCCTTTTCATATTCTGGGTTTCTTATGGAAATGGCGCTTCAGTATTAACATGAGAGATAAGCTATGCGTAGAAGTTTTAGGAACATAACTCAGAAACTATGTGCTTCTCAAGTAATGACATGTAGAGCAAATCAACAAACTGGGAGATATGGTGAAACAACAGATATCTGAAAGCATTTCTTTCTGGCCATCCATATGAAACTTTGTTATTTTCTCTTCTCCATGGAATAGAAATGCTCAAATATTTGAAACCATTCCTAAGAAAAGTAATAGTTGCTTGTATCAATTTCTCCATGCAGAATGAACATGGTCTGATGGTAATATGCATTCCACTCATGGAGAATGTCTTGACCGACAGCAATGATATTGCATTAGAAAGTCATTCACCAAAAAAGGGAAAGGAATTCATTGAGGTTGCATTTGGTTTCATGTAAAACAAAGGAAAATTAATTATTTACCTTGAAAATGATATTCAGTAGCAAAATGAAACATATTCATCATTTCATTGGTTCAACCCTTCTCTTCTATTCATATAATATGCAGTAAGAAATGATTTAAGTGCTCATAATTGTAACAAAGATATGGCACCAAACATTAACAAAAACAACATGTGGAGTTGCATATGAAAGAAAAGTTTTAGAAGTCAGCCACGGTGGAAATTGTACTATTTCATTTCACATGATACTTCAGTGGGAAAATTTCTTGTAAGACACAATTAACACTACCAGCATATAGTTTGATCCCAGGAATGATAGTTATTGGATATCTTGGACAAAATGACTTTAGATATGTCATGCCACAAGGTAGGCATGGTGAAAGGAGGATAATGCAGTATTGCTAAATCCTAAAAGGGTAGTTGAGCAAATACATGTGGCTGGGAATGCTGAAGAAATAATGATGCAACTCGGATTTTCTAATTGGATCTTCTACCAAAAAAATTCAGATTTCTAATTGGATCAACTTACAGATTGTGGTGTGATCATGTTTGAGGCCATATGCAAACCCAGGTAAAAGAGTTGCATCTTTGTGTACAAGGTACACAGTTTCAGCAGCTGTAAAAGCATGAGCTTTGGTGCTCTAGTCAAGATCAGCTTTCATTTGCATATCAAAATGAGTTCCAAGGACTAAAACTCCACCCTCCACAGGTGACAGATTAAACAGTTTGTTTTGCTTCATATACTGAATAGAAGAATCCATTGAGTAAAACAGATGAACATAAAATATCCATAAACCTTAATACTTTACGAGACAGCTTAGAGTGAAGTATTTGACTGAACTAAACTTATATGAGCATTAATCCTGACTATTTTTGGTCAGCACTCAACACAGCTTAGAGTGAGTAATTGATGTAAATAGCAGGCTTAAGATGTGGTAATTGATATAAACCAAAAATCACCATCAAACGGATGATATGTTTACCTCTCTATCACGTTCTTCAATGGCATTCTTCCCAGCTTCCACTTCCAACTCACAAGCTTCTCTCCATCTAGCAATCTCTTCTTCAGCCTCTGCTATTTCCATTATGAGCTCTTCAACCTTATGGACAGGACCAAAAAAGAGAGAACAAAAAGAGGGAAAAGTGAGGAACTGATGAGTAGAGAGTGGTTCAGAAAAACAATAGAAAAACACCCTTAAAAATAAAAATAAAAAGATGTAACTACATTTTGAACCAGCCTACTCTCTCTTTCTTCCAACTCTTTTATGTACAACCTGTTGTCTGCTATTTCCTGAGTTTGTTTCTCTGTAAGACTCTGTAGGCGCTCAGCGTCTGACCTGCCATAGGATAGATGCTTAAAATCCAATGACAAAACATATGAAACCTATGTAAGAAAACCTGCAAGGAATCTATGAATTGGTCTTTAACTAATATTTCTTATTGACAATCAACTTGATCATAATTGGTTCATTGTGAAATTTACACTGATATTTTTATCAACGGATTACAGTTAAAGCAACAACACATTTAAAAACCTCACTAGAAGCTTTGATACCTGAAAACCTGTTCATGCCTAGTATACTGGCATTGGACAAAGTATGTACCCAATATGACACTGGATACAGCATGTATATGGACACTTCTAGAGTACACTATAGCATATACACTCGTACAATATGAAAACCGGTATCTTTTAACAAATCATACTATTAAACAAAAATTGTATATGTTAGAAGCTCAATTAAACTTGGCAACATAATAGTTTTTAGAAATGACACTTGGCTTTGAAACTATATATTGAAGCATGATCAAGGAGCAAAGTATTGGTATTGGGCATCATATTGGACAGCTCAAATACAGATACACTTTCGAAATGCATAGATACAAACAAAAGAAATGGAAATGCTTGGATTCGCTAGGGAAATGCATACAAATCACAAAAATACATTAATAACACTAAACCTAAAGCTGAATTATCTATGAATAAGGTAAAAACACATGAGAAATGCACACTTTGATCGGTTATATGAAGAGAAACATTACAATCAACAATATCGGGACTCTACAACATGTATACATCCATACAATAATTATCACTCTATTTCAATTTTTATTAATTTTTTTGAAAAACCTTTATTTATTTAGTATTTTTATATAAATAATAACTCTATTTTTCAAATAATAAATATGTTTTCATTTTTAACATATAATTGTTTTATTTTACATATAATTGTAAAATAAAACATATAAATCATTTAAGGTAGATAAAACAAATTAATTTTATAATTTTCAGTTTTTATTGATTTTTTGGGGAAACTTAAATCTTAAATTATTTATTTTAATTTTTATAATTATAACTATATTTTAGTTTTTATAATTATAATTTTCAATTTTTATTGAAGTTCAAAAAAATCCAAAAGCAGTCAATATACAGATTTGTCAAACCAAGCACCGATACGCTTCCATATCAGTGCGTATTGGACCATATCCACTGTTACGGTGCAGTATGGCCTGATACAGAGGCACATCATGTTGATATGCACGATTTGTGGGATAGATACCCACTCGCGGCATATCCCATATCCAATGGCCATGGATATGGATGCAATAATATGGATACCTTAATCCTTGAGCATGATATAAACATATTAAATAGGAAACCTGTATCTGCATCCAGGTCCAGGATCTTAAGAAATGGAGAGTTGTATCCCATTTCCCCTATTAGTTTCCATGTTTCTATCTGTATTTGGAAATCATAGACTACAAAATTGGATATATGGAACTGAAAAAATTCAATAGACATGCCTAATATTATGGGGCATCTGCCACCTAAATTGCTACATGGACAACTTTTTAGCATCTGGATATATAACTAGATGAATGCATATTCCAAGGTTCTATAGTTACTCATTCAATGGCCAATGGCCCATTCAATGGTTCTATAATTACTCATTTCCTAGAAGCAAAACTTAAAATGAATTGATAGATTATAAAGAATATAGTAAAAAAAAATCCAGTTATAAGTTAACAAACAAGAATTGCCACTGTTAAGACAATAAGAGAGACTTGATGCATCAGTAGGTCAAACATTCCTAATCATGGGCGAAAATTGGTGAAGTTGTTAGAAACAGTTAACAAGAAAACTATGACCAATATTACAAAACTGAAGAATAACAAGAAAAATATGACCAATATTACAAAACCAAAGAATTTGGATATGCAGAAAGAGAGAGAGAGAGCGAAAACATGCAGATAACACACACAATGGATATTGAATTCCTATAGCAACCTTGTACACCTACACCAGTTCATCTTTCTTTGCATTCTTCAAATCCCTGTATGACACATACAGGTAAAAGACATGATAGTACTTAACTCAGCCTTAACCCCAACTATTTTGCCTATCAAAAAAATCCCAACTATTTGGGGTTAGCTACAGGAGTCTTTTCCCACCATTATGCTCTATCAAGAAGCATGAAAAAAAAGTAAAATCATCATGCAATGCAAAACAGAGAAAAAAGAATACCTGGATTCATCCAAGGATTTTTTCAATTGAGTGATTTCGAGCCGTAAATTCTTCATTATTTTCTCCACAGTTGAGGCCTGTGCAGGATAACCAGAAAGATGAAACCAAATAGTTGTCCATCAGAATGAAGTTTCTTAGGATACATATCAATTTTAAAGTTCTCAAACAAACATGTGCATTAATAAGAGTAAATCTTACTAATGACGAATTTGTTCATCCTGAACTGTACCCTATTCAAAGATTGTAACTTCAAGAGTACAAGTCATGGAGAACTCCCATAACTTCAGGAAAAACAAAAAAAACCATATGCACTTTTGTACAATGTTAGAAGGCCCATTCAGAAACTAGAGAAATAAAAAAAAGCTCATGCATTGTATGAGAACTTGACATGACTCCTAAGAAAAAATAAATAATAATAATATAAACCAAGAACAACTTTTCAATTGTAATTCATCTCTGTTGGACACTCTTTTCATTTTGAATACCCATTTCTGGGTTACTGTTCTGTAGACCATTAAACAGCTTGTGTATACATTGAGAGGAATATTTTGGGAGCCATGAAATGCAAAGCATCGCTACAGTCAAATGCAGGATTTTTATGGATGATTTTCTCTTCATTCAGGAATAGAAGGTATACAAAAACTGACAGTTCCAAGTGGTATTTGGCAATGAACTATCATCAAATCTCAAACAGGTCTTCACCTCAAATATCAAAATCCAGTTAAGGAACAGTGGTAATTGTGGTATAGTCAGGACTAGGCCTGTTTATGGACCAGGTAGCCAAACGGGCTGGCCCGGCCTGACCTGTTCTAAGTCAGGCTTGGACATGAATTTAGGCCCATGGGCTCCGACTTTCTCAAAAAAGCCTGGCCCAAGCCTGAGCCCGAGTCTGACCTGATAATATATATTATATAACTAAAATTATATATTTTATAATAAAAAATATATATGTTCTTTTCTTTGTTCCTCTTCTCTTTTTTCAAGCCATAGTGAGACTTTTCATTATTTTTGGGTTTTGAGGTCTTTTAATATAAATAAATCAGTTTTTTTATTGAGTAAAAAAGAAAATATTTTTTCCCAATTTTCTGGCCAGGCTTCAGGCTCGGGCTCAAGACCTAGGCCCGATGGTCGAGCCTGAATTTGTTAATATAGAGACAAAGCCCAGCCCAGGCCGTGAACAGGTCTGGTCAGGACTCCACAAATCTCATCAACACCAATGCCCCAAAATTCTCAGACAGAGGCCCAAGTAGCAATTAAAAAATAAGTCTGGTAGAATACCAAAGGATGGTTGCAAAAAATCTCTCATATCTACTTCCATAGTCCTCACATGACTGCATTCTACCCCACTATGGGAAGATTTTACCCCAACTCTAATACCACTTAACATCCAACTTTGCAACTTCTCCCTCAGCACTTGAGGAGGATGCCTCCAAGACTACCACCAGAAAGAACAACTTCCTTATCTGTGGGACAATGGGTAATCAAGAAATAGCAGTTGATTGACTTTCTCTAGTCCAATTGTCATCAATGAATTCTAGTCAATTTGAAGCGATTACAGTTCTGATCAATTTGGTCCCCTGAAAGAGTTTTTTTTTGTGGTCATAATGTTGTCTACTGGTATTTTTATAATGCTGTGGGTTGCCAACGTTTTGGATAATACTATGGATAATTTATATGGGCATGAACTGTGAAGCCCTAATGCCATTGTAGCAGATTACTTGATCAAGAATAGCATTTATGACACATCCTAATATACTGGGGATGATTTAGCAAACAGAATCTGCATGCAGAATTTTTTTTTTTAAATAAAAGCAAAATTAAATCACTTTTTGAAGGTTTCACCAATTAGTTGTATGGCATCTCCATTGTAAGTACATGTGGTTCACTATGTCTGTGATCACGATGAAGGCATCAAACCAGATTGATAGAAACACCCATGACAACATGGAAGCCACCGAGGGCCTGCAATGAGTCCATAACCCATCACAGGTTTGCAATGAGCTCAAAGCCATCGCGGGCATGCGATGGACCAAAGGATCTCCGAACGACTGCAACAAATCGAAGGCACTCACAACAAGACGCCCAACAAACTAAGCGAAACACGTCATATTATCTCTGGCGTTATCCATGCCACATCAACACAGGAGACCCGTGAGGGGAAGTAGCGCATGTGTACCATGAGAATCCTCGGACGAAAGGAAACTTTGTCATAGGAAAATCTCACGCAACACGTGGTGAACCCTAGTAGTGTCCTCCTGACAACCGACATCGAATCGAAGATTCCTTTTCCTAATAGGCATCAAACCCCTTTTGGCTCCTTCCCTTTAGGACCTCGGGGTCTCCCCTTATAAAAGGAGGAATAAACCGTGATCAACACACGATTCTGTCAACTCTGAGATCTCTATTTACCTTCGCTACCTCCAGCCTTTCTTTGTCCTTCAGGGAGAGCACCGCACTTAACCTTATCACACCACTTACATCCATTCCAATGGATGAAAAACTAGAAAGCAATATCAAACATAAAGAGAAAGCCTATAATCAAATGATCTATGCAGAACTAAATCCTGCATTTTTGTAAACGAATTAAATCCTGTTAAATAGCAGAGACAAAGAAATATAGCAACTTCATTTCACGACAAAATGGTAAACAAATTCAACCATGTCACAACATGTTTAAACAACTAGTTTTCTGATGAGGTACCATTTTTCAAATCACAAATATTAGTTCAGTCTACCAGTAGCGAACTAATATAAATGTTTTGAAAGTTCAACTGTAAGAAAATAAGAAAGAACTGAACTATACCAAGCTAACAGATTCTTCTTCGCATTCGCTACTATCTGACTTATTGCATGTATTAGGACTGGAATTATCTGTCGCCTCACCACTTGAAGCACCCATCATGAATCCAAACCCAACTTTCTGTAATCCTCTCTCTGCAATTTGAAGAATCGCCACCCTTCTATGCTCGCCTCCCTTGAGTTTATTAAGGGCCCTTTCAACTGATTCCTTCTCTACTAGAGCAATCCTGAGCAAACTATTAACGTCTCTGTTCTCTTCCGTCAAACTCACCACACTATTCTCCAATTCCTTTTTTTCCTTCCTTCTCATTTCTTTGTACTCCACTAGCCTTAATTCCAATGCCAAAGTAAGTTTATGAATAACCATAGATTCTGATAAAAATCCCTTTGATTCCTCGTCCAAATCAGACTCCTCTCGTATCTGCTCGTCTTCTTCAATAACACTCTCAGACTTTTCTTCATTGATTCTCTCCGTGATCCTCATCAAGCACTCCCTAACTAAGTGAAGCAAATCCTGACTCCGAGAGAAAACCCCAATTCGCTTGCTCCTTTCCTCCAGTAACACAGAAATCCTCTCTCGACAAGCTTCGACTTCGTTCCGAAGATCCAACTTTTCCTTAAACTGCTCATCCCGGTCCCTAATCAATTCATCCTCACGTTCCTTTGCAGAGACCTCCAAACCATGAAGCTCGCTCTGAAGAGCGTCTCTTTCACTTGAGATTTCTTCCAGAGATTTAACGAGGTCGAAATTGTGCTTGAGAGCTTCGTCTTTCTGCTGCTGAAGGAGGATCAAGTTATCCTCCATAACCACGGATCTTGATTGGAGATCACGATATGAGATACGAAGAGCTTCCAGTTCATTGAGAAGAGCATTGTCTTCGATCTGCGATTCGCAAAGATGGTCGCAGTGATTCTGATCGTCGTTTGAGAAGCCATCCTCTCTGGTATCTTCATGAACATTTTCCATGGTATAAAAGATGATCCATTTAAGATGGAAACTTGTTGGGCTTTCATCTCGACAACTGAGAGACGTAAGACACAGAAGGCCAAAACTACCAGTCAAACATAAACATGGAGGAAGAACTTATGTCTTGGCGGGATTGTCCTTGTAAGTTGGGAAGTTGGTATTGGAAGTACTGCGCTACCATTTGCATTCGGATTTCGGAACTTTGTTTTGTGATAAAAAAGCCCCTGATCTTTTGGATTTCAGCAATTTGCCCCTCGTTGTATATTGCCTTAAATAATTTTGAATTCTCAAATTACCTTATATGACACCATTTGCCCTTTTGATGTAAGGGCATATTATCCTTACGAGGAATCTTACAATTTTTAAGAGGAATCTTACAACTTTTTGGGATGTTCTTTTTTGGATTTTGAGAGGAAGAAAAGTTGGCTAATGGGATTTTGGTTTTTATTGACCAAAAATCTTATGTTCATTTTTCAGATTTGTGGGGACCAAGGAAAATTTATTTTACTGAGTATCACTTACCTAGGTGGGTACATAACTTTCCCACCTAGAGGGAGAGTTGGTAACACTTGAATGGGACAAAAATGATCATTTTAATAATGGATTTTTAAGGCTAAAATGGTCATTACCTTATTTACCTGAAAATAAAAAAATGGGTAAATGCACTTATACAAATAAGTGTTTCCCAAGAAAAACTTACCCAAGTAATTGCATTTACCCGAATAAATAACTTACCGGAAAGCAAACAAAACCTAAGAGTAAAATGGGCGTTAGTTTCTTCTTATTTTTTATCTCTTAAAGATAATCTCTTTTTTTTTTAAGGCGAATCCCCCAATAGAAAGATGGAAACCAAATTCATTATCCAATATGCTAAGAATTACAATATAAAAAGGAAGGGGTGAAGACCAAGTAAACATGATTAAAGTTAAGAATTTGCTTGGCCAACAAGTGGGCTGACTTTTCACCGGTACGAGGGGCCCAACTAAATCTTAAAGAGAATCTTACAAGTTTTTGTAAGTATTAAATTTTATTTTATTTCACACGAAATCACAATTTAGCTGTAGCACTAAATTTCTTATTTAGTTGCATATCTTTGATTTTGCAACACTCTAAGTTAGACATTTTACATCTATTGTCATGTTACTAAATTCTAAACTTCCATTTTTTGGCAATTCCTTTTTTTTTTTTGGCAATTCTAAGCTTTCATTTATCATATATTCAAAATGCACTTAGGGCCCGTTTGGCGCTTCTTTTTGGGAAGATCTTCTAATAACTCTGACATGCAAAAGATGCATTGAGCTTTTGCATGAAGATCTGAGCAGCCCGAAGCACGTTTGGTAGATGCACGTCTGCGTGAGATTAAAATGCAAAAGACACGAGAAGTTTCATCTGGAGTTTCCTGAAATCAGCCCAAAACGGGCTTATCGTGTCTTTTCGGCATTCCGTCTTTTGGCGACTAGATCTTCCGCACGCCAAACGAAAATAAACTGAAAATTGGTCTTTCTGGCTTGTAAACAGCCGAAAGATCGCACGAAAAGACATGCCAAACGGGCCCTTATTAATTCACACTAGTGACATTATTTTAGTTGTCACCCATTGTCTCCACACCACATCATTTATTACATTAGGGGATATTCAATTAAGAAAATAGATTAGGAGAAACCAACCTAAAATTTGTAAAACCAAATTCACCCCTCTTGAGTTGTATAATGGGCTACATTAACCGCACCATTCGCATTTAGTTTTCCCCTAGCCTCCTCCTCGTAAAGATGTTGGGGCTCATGTTGGTAGGTAATAGTGGTTAATTAAGTTAGTGTTTGAGAACACTTAAAAGAAGTACTTCTTTCAAGAAGTACGTCTTTTAAGACATGGGACCACACATTAAGTGGTTTTTAAGTACTTATAGGTGTTTGGTAAAAAAGTGGGGAAGAAGTACTTTTTAAAGTACTTCTTTGAAAAAATGACTTCAAGTTGGCTTTTTTTAAGTACTTCTCCAAAATAATAGGACAAACCAGCCCCTAACAAATTTTTATAATGACCAAAATACCCCCACGAGGTTATACCTCCCCCTTTTCCACTCATTCGACCCCCAACCCTAGCAACAACGGCGCACCAGTTGGCAGGTCCAGCGACGACAATCGGCGGTGAGGAACAGTGGCCAACGGACTGTTGTTTGGCCAACTCCCTTGTTCGAGCGTAGCACTAGGTCAAATCCTAAGCTCTGTGTGATCTGCTCACTGCTTCTCTAATCTCTATTGATAATCGATGTTCTGCTCAACTAGGTCAATCCTAACTCAGTTCTATCCGCTGTGACTCGGCTTTTTGCACGATGCAAAGCTATATCTACAATGCGCCATGGCAGAACTCTGTCTTCTGCTCTCCTCAGAACTTCATCCTGAATCGAAAACCTCCTCCTTGTGGCATCCGTCTCCAAAGCCATCTCCGAAACAAGGGAAGTGGGATTGGGTAGAGAGGCTCATGAAACATGTAAGGGATGTTACACTACTGCCAAATGTTATCAAATGGAGGTATAATATGGAGGCTTCAATGCGAGACCCACAAAACAGACAAAAGGATTTCACACCAATGTTTCCATCTGAAGGCAGTATTAGTGAGATCATGAGTTTCATAGCTTCATTATCCAAGGATGCAGATATTGATTCACAAATTGATTCTGAAAATGGGAGATCACAAAGTGAAGATGAAACTTCTTCTAGCATTGATCACTGGTCATCATCTCCTTACGTAGATCAACTTGCTAATGAAGTAAAGTCTACCAACTACTCTCAATTGTTTTCAAAGTCTAAGGGAAGACGGGTGCAAGGGAGAAGCAATGATTCATTTGATATTGATATGATCAATACATTCCTATCAGTTTTTTTGGCCAAGGGGAAGTTGAGCTTTGCCTGCAAGTTGTTTGAGATCTTCACTGAAATGGGTGCCAATCCTGTCAGCTACATTACGCCTTAAAAGTGCTTTCTGGAAGTATTTTGTGAAAATTGCGCCTTAAAAGTACTTTCTAGAAGTATTTTGTGAAAACTGTGCCTTAAAAGTACTTTTTGGAAGTGTTTTGTGTAAACTATACCTTAAAAGCACTTTCTAAAAGTTTTGTGAAAATTGCGCTTTAAAAGTACTTTTTGGAAGTATTTTGTGTAAACTGCACATCGAAAGCACTTTCTGGAAGTATTTTGTGTAAACTGCGACTTGAAAGTGCTTTCTAAAAGTATTTTGTATAAACTACGCCTTGAAAGTACTTTTTGGAAGTATTTTGTGAAAATAACACTTTAAAAGTACTTTCCAGAAGTATTTTGTAAAAACTGCACCTTAAAAGTACTTTCTAGTAGTATTTTGTTATTTATCAATATGTTAATATTAGTTATTATTATTATTTGTATTATTTTTTTATTATTATTATGATAAATTATTATTATTATTATTATTATTATTATTATTATTATTATTTGGATCCACATGGCAGCCCACGTGGGAGTCCACGTGGGCTCTCAACTGAAATGTATAGTATAACATGTGAAAAGTAATATATATATATATATATATAAGTGAAGTTGCCAGGGAATCCTGTATGTGTGTGGCTTTCTCCACCACCTTCAAAGGGGTAGCCCGCACATGGTACCGAAACCTCCCGCCCGGATCAATAAGAAGTTGGGCGTAGTTCGTGTGAGTCTTCACTTCCCACTTTGTCACCAGCAAAAGGTGCCCAAGAACTCAAGAAAGCCTCCTCGGCATAGTGCAAAAGGAAGGGGAGTCCATTTGAAGTTACATCAAGCGGTTCAATGACGCTTGTTTACAAATACCCGACTTGGACCTTGCAGTTCATCTCGTCGTGGCCAAGTGAGGTATTACTCATAAAGAATTCAAGTGGCACGTGGTTGTCAACCAGCCTAAGACCGTGATCAAGTTCCTCAAGCTCGCGGATCAGTTTATAGGAACGAAGGAAGAGATCAACTAGAAGGTCGAGCAGGCCCTTGAGAAAAGGAAAAGGGAACCAGAGCCCCCAACTCAAGGCGACTGCAAGAAGAAGAAGGACCAAGCTTGAGGGGCAAAGCCAAATCAGCCTTTCCGAGCTCCAGCAGCAAAAAGGGACTACACGCCCCTCAATGCGAAGCGGGCCGAGATCCCCATGGCGATCAAGGATGCCCCGTATGTGAAGTGGCCACCTCGGCTGAAGGCAGACCCTAATGTTAGAAATAAAAATTTGTATTGTAGTTTTCATAAAGACCACGGTCACAGCACCGAGAATTGTAAAAACCACCACAACGAGATAGAGGAGCTCATCTGTCGCGGATATCTGAGAAATTTTGTACAAAATAATAATAATAATAATAAAGCAGGTCGGCAAGGGGAGCAGAGTAGACACGCTCCCGAGTCTAGTAGGCAGGCAGAGCAGCCGCAGAAGCAGTCCCCTGAAGAGAGACCAGTTCGGGGGACCATCCACGTGATAGTCGGAGGTTCGATTGTGGCGGGCTGCACCTCAACTGCAGATAGGGCATCATCTCGTGAGGCTGCCAGGGAAGAACAGAACCCCCCGAAGTGGCCAAGGATGGAAGACCCAATCTTCTTCACAGAAGATGACGCGTGTGGGGTCCACTACCCCCATGATGACGCGCTTGTCATAAAGATGAAGACCAATGACTTTGAAGTTAGGTGCGTCCTCGTCGACTCAGGCAGCTCAGCAAATATCCTCTTCAAAGCAGCCTTCGACCAACTTCAGCTCCAAGAGAGCGACCTGAAGCCCACGAACACTCCCCTGGTAGCCTTCAACGAAGAGGAAGTCAGGCCCCTGGGAAGGATTACGGTACCTGTGGAAGTCGGCACTTGGCCTAGCATAGTGAGGCTCAACCATGATTTCTTAGTGGTCGCAACCCCCTCCCCGTATAATGCCATAGTAGGTCGTGCTCCGTGACACTCATGAGGGCCTGTGTGGTGGACACTTGGGGGGCAGGGCCCTCACCCAAAAAGCGCTACGACAGGGGTACTACTGGCTAACAATGAAAGTAGATGCTATTGAGCTCGTCAGAAAGTGTGACAAGTGCCAGAAGCAAGCCAATATCCACCATCAGCCCGCTACTGACCTTAAGTATCTCCCCAGC